TCAAATTGGCGATTTGGTCGCGCAAGCAGAAACGCTTTGCAAGCGTAATAATATATTATAATATAAATATAAAAAGAATTTTACGAAACATTTACATGGATGTCCAGAAAAAATATTGACAAATTTTTAATTATAACATACAATTTAAAAAGAATTATATGATCCGATTCTTGCACTACAAATTCGTGCAAATATCCGATTATTAAGATTTCTTATAAAATTTAATTCTTGTAACAATTTAGAATAAAGAAATATACATAAAATAGGATTCCTAATAATTGTAAAAATATAATACAGCTTTTTTCACTATCCGACTGGATAGAAGATATTCTTTGTTAATATATTAATTATGTATTTGCTAAAGATGGTTAAAACCAATAGTCGACACGTTCACACTAACATCTTTTAATACATATTATACGATTAATGATTATATAAGTGTAGATTGCGCACTTCTTACTGCGCTGACTCCAAAGTAGTTCCCTCAAATCTGTATTATATACACTATATTTTTTTATTTCTTGGATCGAATATTTTGTGCTTCTTTAAGCGACGTCATATTACACTGTAACTGCTTCACCTCGAAAGCTGCAGTAGTCGCAGTGGTAATATGGCTATCATTTATGACGTTCATTGAGGAAACTAGACGCTGTCGCAACGCGCTGCGTAATAGCGGAACAATTTGTACTGCCAATACTGGCAGTGTATATCGGAACACACTCATACAGTAGCGCAACTTTCTGTCGGCATCTTTGATTTCAGTGTTGGCCAAAATGGAGTGCGCATGCGTGAAATAAGTAAGTTACCTCGCATTGCCACGGTTACCACCTAAATTTCTTTCTCTTTTCATCCTTTTTTCGTGCTGTCAAAACTCCTCACAAAACTACATATATTTATTCGTGTCGCATTACACGAACGCGTTGAAGTGAGTAAAAACTATTGTAGGAACATGTTGAAGCATATTAGAGCGAACCTACGACCCGAATAAACCTACTACTCTGCAATAAAATAATCTAAACTTTATTAAAATTAATAGAAATAAATTGTAAATATATTAAAAAATAAAGAAAAAAATGTATATTTATACGGAAATATTATGTAATTGTAAATATATGCTATGAAAATATTATGAGAAAGCTGATATAAAAGAAAATTGAAAATACAATAAATAAAAAGAAATCTTTTTTGCTCGGTTTTTTATATTACTTTTGTTCACTTTTTCACCTTATCACTTTTTCATAAGAATTAGACTAGTTTTTCGAGGTTTCTTACACAACATTTCACCAAATGGGCGATACACTTTCCTCCAAATGTCTACTCTGAACCATGTATGCTTGTAAAACAAATGTTTAAAAAGAACATTGAAACGCTTATTTAAATAGAAAGAGAGAGACAGAGAGAGAGAGAGAGAGAGAGAGAAACAGAGAGAACAATAAAGAAGGAGAAAATGAAGCAACTTATTTATTTCACGTATGCGCATTCTATTTTGGCCAACATAAAAGCAGAAGAGTTGCGCTACTGTATATATGTATACTGTGGCGGTAGAGTCTTTTTTTCAAGAAATTTCGTAAAACTGTTAGAAAATAGAAAAATATTGTAATTGTATAAATAATACATATATATACCAGAAACAACTCAGTAGCATATAAAGTAGAAATTATAATAAAAAGAATGTACTCATAATTTTTTCTTTAATCTTTATTTAGTCTCATTAAAAATGAGTATTACAAATTTTATAAAAAGTAACAGAAAAAAATATTTTAATCAGTATAAAATAAATAATTCAAATACTTATAATAAAAATAATACAACATTCAATAATCTCAATAGTAGAAAGAACAGAAATTAAAATTTATATTTATAATAAAAATATTTTTTTTGTTCAGGAAACACAAAAAAAAAACATAACATTAATGTTACAATTTTTCACTCAACAATACAACTGCAAGATAATATGTCTTATGCATAATAGTAACACACACTATTGAATGGAAAATTATAATTATGTGTTACTGTTATTTTGTTTTTTTTTTAATCTTTGCCATGTAAAATACCTGCGTGACGACCCTAGCTAGTAAAATTATCGTTAAAAAGTTACAGGTTACAAAATAGGTCTTTCGGACACTAAACTAATGACACACGAGTAGCGTATACGGCGATACTAACGTCCAATCAGAAGGATGAACGAGATGCGCGAACACATAGCGGATAGGAGATACCAATCTTTGAATAAAATAATCAGTAACAGTAGGATATTATATACTAGCAAAATAAAATTAAAAAAGACGGTAAATAACCTAGTTGAAACAATAGGCAGTAAGTTTGTGAGCCAAAATGGTAAATCTACCGCTAAAACGGTAGGATAAATTGGCAGCACTGATCGCATGCTCCAATATGCTCCAATATGCTTGTGCTATAGTTTCTACTCACTCTAATGAGTGCATTGGAGTGAGTAGGAACTATGATAGGAATATATTGAAGCATGTTGGAATATGCGCGACGCGACAAACCTATTAACTAGATGGACAATATACATATATCACGAGGTGCGTTCGGGGAGCGTGCGTTAGCACTATTTATATTATTCTATCTTTATTTTATGTATGATAAACAATGGAGATAGAATAATACAAATAGTGCTAATAGTGTCTCTCTGAACGCACTTACAGTGTTATGTGTATCATCGTGACAGTAATCGCTTCTTAGCAACAAAAAGTTGATACTCATTATGTATAGATTTTCTCGACAAGTGTATCAAGCGTTCTCATTCGTATTATCGAGTTGTTCTCGCAGAAATCGACACGTATGGACGAGTTGTCAACAATTTTTGGAAATTACGTTTAAACGTCCGAGTGCAGACAATCGTATGTAATTTTATTTCTGTGATAAAAATGAGAGATTTAGAAAAATCACAATACTGATTTGTATAAAGGACTTCACACTAATGGAAAAAATGGTCAAATCGATTGGAAGTGTGATATTTTGTACATTCCCTGGTGAAATGTTTTTTAAAAAAATATGTAATTTTTAATTGTGTAAATTAAAAAAGAAACTATATTTTCTTTACATCAATTCATTCATCTCATTATCTATGCATAAAAGTATTAAGACATAGTTGTTAAAAAATAAATAGTTTAATAATAAATAAATAATAAGTAAAAATATTTTTCAGTTCTATTAGATTAAAAATAGCAATTTTCAAATATGCTATAACAAAAATTGGTCATTTTTAATTGGTTGTGCTGAATGAAATTTGATATCTCCAATTCTATAAAATATCCCAGCCAAAGCCATTACCAAATTATGACCAATATTATTACCAAATTATTACCATTTGACCAAAGCCATTATTTTTTAAATATTATTAATGCAGAATCTTTTATCAGAATTCTTTTTCCTTTTGTGTTTTTTTTTGTTTATTTATTACTTTGTTGAAAGTAGTCGCTGAAATTCATTAATGAAATAAAAAAATGTTTATGTTAAATATTTGAAATATATCTTATCAGTGTGTTTGTAATCTACTTTTTTTCAGTGACAAGGACCTTGTATTCTTCGAATATACCATATCGGGAAAAAAATATTGAAGTTCTGTGCAAAAACGGAATGGCAATAAAAGAAAAATTTATAATTTATTATTTAGACTTATTGCGAGAATTAGAGAAGGAGAAGCCAGATTTTCTGTTCTTTGATGTTAGAGAACCTGAAGAAATTGAGTGTTATGGCCAAATATCAAAAACCATTAATATAAGAGGTATAAATCTTTCATTGTGTGTATAAATTTTGGAAAGTTTATTACTTTCATTTCTCAAACATCACACAGTAATATAATAATGTTGTATAATTAGAAGAATAATCTATAACAGTAAATAATTATACATTTGTTTCAGAGGATGATGTCGTTAATGAACTCGTAAATCTTGAGGACGAAAATTTCCAAAAAAAATACGGGATACCTAAACCGGATCAACACACAAAAATGATATTTAGTTGTTACTCTGGTAAAAGAGCTGAGAACGCGGTAAAAAAGATGAATGAAAAAGGATACACACAGTATGACAATATCGCTTTTAGAATTATTAGAGTAAGGATTTATTATAATAAAGTTTTGTATTCTGTTTTGCAGGGTATATTTATACAGGGGAGGTTTCAAAGAGTGGCATGACAAACAAAACCCGGAAAGACAAACTTTTATAATCAAATATGATCAGTTATTGGAAGATCAAAAGAAATCTGATGTTCTGATCGTCGATGTTAGAGAGCCTGAAGAGTTAGCTGAAACTGGCAAAATACCAAAAAGTATTAATATAAGATGTAAGAATCTTTCGTTGTATTTCTAAATGTTGAAACTTTACTATTAATTTCTCAAATATCATACATAATGTGGTATGATTAGCGTATATAAATAATATATAACAAGTAATTAAATATACATTTGTTACAGCGAGTGATGTTGTTAAAGAATTCAAAGAACTTTCGGAGGAGGATTTTGAGGAAAAATACAGTAAACCCAAACCGACTGAAGACACAAAGATCATATTTAGTTGTCGCTCTGGCATCAGATCCGAACGTGTCCAAAAACAGATGCAGGAATTGGGATACAAACAGTATGACAATATCTTTCAGAATCACTAGTAGAAATTTATAATAGACCTCTATATTATTTTGCAGGGTATTTAATTTTGAAGGAGGTTGGGAGGAGTGGAAACGAAGAGAAGAAAAGAAGAAAAAATAAAAGAACAATAGTGGAACACAAAAGGGGAATTAGAATATTTTCATTATTGCACTGATTTTTAACACACACACATACACACACAGAATTTTGAGATACTCTATTGTTGCACTAATAAAAGATAAAGTTTTATTTTGATGCAATATTGTTAGATATTATTTTTTGATTGCTGTTGACAAAACTATTCCACGAAAAATTGAGAAAACAAATAATTATTTAAATATGTACATAGACTTATATTTTTATATACATTATCTTCCTATAATTTACAAAAGCTTAGAATTATACAATATGTATATACACAAGAATCTATGTCATGTTTTATAAACGATGAAATCTTCAATTCTTCTCCTGTGCCATTTTCTTGTGATTAATCATCTCTCTAAATTGTCCCAATATAAGATTTTCCCTCTTCTGCCGTTCTTCTTTACTGAACATTGCCAAGGCACGCTTCTCGTCGGCAGAATAGATCTGATTTTCCTTTCGGATACGAACCGCTTCCATACGGCGATGCCTTTAGAAAAGATAGAAAAAGATTAAAATCAAAATTATTTAAATAAAGATAAAGCATGTTTAACGTTGTCCTGACAAGTAGTAAAAATATTTTGTTTTATTTGATATTTAAGATTATCGAAAATTACCATTAGTAATGATTGGAATAGTGAGTCGAACATAATTTTATATATTTGGATAATTAATAACTACTTTCAGTATGACGTTGAAAATCTATTGTCATTCTATAAAGCAGAAATCAAAGAAATCGAAATTTTCTGCGTATTGATATGCATTACCTGCTGCCACTCATGACATAACCGACAGATTCATATGCCGCAATCTCCTCTGATGTTAGCCCGATCTCACCTCTCCTGGGTATGCGTTTTCCTTCAGCGACGTAAGCTGCCATTGCCGCACCCTCGCCTGGTAGCAGGGCTTTACCGAAATCCTTGGCTGAAAGAGTCACGTGCGGTTTCGGGGCTGGTCCAACCATACCATCGTCTCCACTGTCATCCGAACTCGAGCCTTTCTTTGGCTTTGGTTTATCAAGAATGGTGGTTTTTTCTACCCAGACCTCTTCATCATTGCTATTGCTGCTATCACTATCGTCAGAGCTACTACTGTCCGTTTCTTTCTTCGCTTTCTTTTTCTTCCTCTTCTCTCTTCTCGCTTCTCTCTTTGCCTTCTTTTCTCTCTTTTTCTCTTTCCTTGCCTTCTTCTCCTTCTTCAGTTTCTTGCTCTTCTAAATATTTAATATTATTTTAAATTATTTAATATTATTATTAATATTTTTCCACATACTGGCTACTGGCTGCTAAAAATTTTCGGCTAAATGAATAATTTTATTGTATTGCTTAAATAAAAAATCTTTACAAATAAACATCTAGTATACAAGTATTTAATATATTTTAGCATTAAAAATATTGGCTGTGTTCAGCAGAGAAGCAGCTTTGCAACTGTTGTAAAATTCTTCAATATGATTGGTTTATACGTTTAGATCTGTAAGAATCCAAAAGCAAGAAACAATATCATATTGAAGAATTTTGCAACAGTTGTAAAGCTGCTTTCTCTGTTGAACGCAGCCATAGTGTTCTTAATTTGCAACAAGAATTTTATTAACTTATAAATTGAAAAAAAGACTGTCAAAAAGTGTCATAAAATTATATGTTGGCTGAAAAGTTTTAGCATTCACTGTATTTAATTGAATATCATTGTTCGATTGAATGTTTCCATAATTAATCCAGTACCTTCTTTTTAGCATCATGTCTCTTCCTCTTGCGATCCTTTGATAAAATATTGTCCTTATGTTTACTCAAATCTTCGTCCTGCTCATCTGAGCTACTGCAAATGCAATAACAAATTGAAACTTCAATACTATGCCAGATAGATATATTGTTTCAATATGAACTGCTAGTATAATTTATTGAAAGTCTTAGAACTCAATTTAGTAAGTTAATGTATTAATCTTATATTACTCGCATGATTTTTAACTTAATTATTTGTGTGATATATTTTACTCCAACATTATATCTCATCCTTTATTGTTCTCTTTGATTTACAAATATATAAAGATTTATTATATTCCATATATTATTTTAATAAAAATAAATACAATTTCTTTTAAATCGTGAAAAATTTGGAATAATTATAATAAAGAATACAATAATATTCATATATTTGAATTTATAAGGTTGGAGTATCCTGGACATCCTAATAATTAAATAAATATAAAAAATTTGTCATATTCTCTACATTCTTTAAATAAAGATAAATTCAATTTTTTTAAATTGTAAAATATGGGATATCCATAACATTTGTTATATTCTGTCCTTTAGATTAAGATAAATGCATTTTTTTTTAAATGTGAAATAATTTATACTAAATGTATTGTGCATAAATAGCATTCATACATTTAGCGAATTTATAAGGCTGGGATATTCCACGCGAGTAACGAATTAATAATAACGTAATAGCACCAATCCTAACCTCAAAGGATATAAATTACAAGTGATCGTTGTCAGAGTTAATTCTTTCTCGGCGGATGCTGTCGTCAGGATCGACGACCCGAATGAATACAGCAACGATCAAGCTACTAATATGTTGTAAAAGTTCTATACATTCTATTTAAAGAAGATATCTACCGTGTCTACGTACTATTCGATTTGCGTCGGGGATCTGCTCCAAGCCTCAGGAACTCCGCGTAATCCGATCAGCTCTCTCTCGCGCCTTCGCGCGTCCATCATCTTCTCGTTCATCATCTCTTCGCGTTTTCTCTTCTCCTTTTACGAAGATTAATTTATTTACGAAAACTGCTGCCGTTAAAAGGCAGCAGGTCTTTTCCTTCAACTTCACGCAGAATTAAGTGATAAAACTAAATATATCACGTATCCATTTGTTTTTCTCCTTCTTCTTTAAGTTTTTCCTTTTCTTTTTGTACGAATACTCGATTTGATAGATAAAAATTGGAACCGATGACACTCCTCTGCTTTTTTATCTATCTTTTTAGCGACGCGTCTGTTGACAATGAAGGTTAGGCAAGGTTAGGTTCACTCTCTCATGTATAACGACGTGAAGTTGCAGAGAATCGTGCCGTTTTTCTTTCTCTTCTTTCTCAAATTCCCACGTCTATCCTTTTCGAGTAGAGATTAAAGTACTTTTTCTCTTTTTTTTATGAACTATGTCTTACAAGTTCCTCTTTCTTTCATTTATTTGAATATTCACGACCTATTCGGTACAAAAAAATTGTTCATATGAATAATTGTTTGGAATATTTCAGAAATATTTTGTGAATATTTATAAAATATTTAAAAATATTGCATTAAAATATTTTAGAAATGCTATATATCATAAAAAAAGATTATAAAAATTATAAACAAATATTATAAAAAAAGAATATGTATATTTAAAAACCCCGGAAAAAAATGTTTCATACATAATTTTATATAAAATTATATATAATTATATATAAAATATGTCCATATAATTTTTTTCCCGGGACTTTTGATATTTCCTAGATATATTTATATATTTTGAAGGATTTCGTGAAAAATTTTTGAAAATTTGAAATATTTTAAAAATAATTGAAATATGTATGCAATAACTTCAAAAAAATTTTTGTTAAATCGTTAAATTGAAGAATGATTATATATTGAAAGATTCCGATATATTTTTTGAAGACATTCGCTTATTCGAGCTTTACTTGAAACTGAAATGTAGAAAGGTAAATGATACAAGTGCGATGGTTTCCTACAAGACAAGAGCTGCCGCTTTTATTGAAATTGGTGTGTATACACGAGGGGCACAGTGCGTTTGCGTGGTTTCGCATAATACCGCAGCACATTGCGATTTTCAAATAACGAGCGAGTTTGAGCGCGCCTTTATTATTTACGCTTCGAGACGCTTTTTTCGCTAATGATCTCTCTACTGGTCCGGTACATAATTCTCTTTCTCGCCGTCTCTTTTTCTTTCTATCTCTTTTCTTTCTATCGTCTACCTTAACTATATATGCATATATACACTTGCGTATCCTAGCGAAAGTCTGTATCCTAGCGAACATAATTCGACAGCCATGAAGTAACAGGAAGTCGTCTTTGGTGAAAAAATTCGTATATCTCATATTTTTAAGAATTTTTCATTAAAAAAAAAGTATCTTAAACTTCTTTAGGTTTTGTATTTCTTCGGAAATTATATAGATTATTTCAAAAAAAAAAAAAAAAA